CCAAAACCTCTGCTCCTTCATTCACCAAAGGAACAGAACACTAGAGAGGGGTGGAGAGCATCCACATTAAAATCTTCCCATTTTTTTATTTCCAAAGGAAATTAACTTTAAAATTTTTTCTCTAATGTATACTAGTCTCTCAATCAAAAGTTATTTTTAAAGTATATCACTAATGTCATTATGAATTAATCTACTGTCAATATTTTTGGAGGGAAAAGATAAGGAGTAAATCAAATATATATTTATATATTTAAAATAACAGAAGTAATGGTAATGGTGAATGTAAGTGTGGTTCCTTTCCAATTTCCTAATCAATGATATTTTTTCACAGCTAAACTTTCCAAAGTAAAGGAATTTGTTTTTCTTATCAGGGACATAAACTTAAAAAAAAAAAAAAAGAAAACAAAAGGCATTTATAATAATATAATCAGAGATTTTGAAGATACATATATTTTACTTCTCAATTTTTAAAAGTTACAAATGTTAAATATTATAATAAAGTAATTACTTTTCAATATCCGTATTTTTTCATAGTTCATTCATTCATCAATTGAACACACATTCATGCTAGTTCTAAGATATACAAGATATATCTTGTGGCCATTTTTGGTACTAGAGACAAAGGAAAAAAGGACAGAAAAATAAAGTCAAGAAAAACAGAATGAAACAGAAGATAAACATAGAGAACAAAATTTCACGGATTGCCGACCCCAATTTTTGTACCTTTACAACTACATATACACATAAAAATTCATTTATTCATGCAACAAATGCCAGACAAGCAGTAATAAGTAGATAATGCTAGGTAGTGGGTATAAAATAAAAATAAAAAGTAGTATTTGCCCTTAAGTAGCTTAAAATTAAGTTGAAGTCGACTTTAATATTTGCCACTATAGACCTTATGATTTAAGTTGAGAAGTCTATTTATATTTAATAGAGATAATGAAAATTTAATTGTGTTCACATCCACTTAAGAATTTAGATCCACAAAATGCATCTTTTTACCTATTTTATGTTTAAGGTTTAATTTTGAACTTTATTCATTAAAAATATTCATCCACATTTGAAAATTGAGTTTCCAGAAATATAAAGAATAATAAAAAAAATGTATCAGAATGAATGTTTTCAATTTTAAAATAAACTTAACAACATAAAACATAACTGATTTCAATTTAAAAAACAAAAACCATTTTTATACCCACATCAAAAGATACAAAAAATTAAAAGTATTGTTATTTGTTCTCAAAATTCAGTCAACATCAAAATTAATAAAATGTTGAGACACAACTGTTCCCACAAGAATTCTATTAGCATTAGTAAAAATATTCAAAACAAACAAAATTTAAAATTTAATTTTTGAAGTGGTAGATAAAAAAAAAATCAAACGTCAGATATTGTTCAAATAACAAACAATAAATAAACAAGCCTAAACAATTATCAAATTGTTTAATTCACTAGTTAGTGAATTAAAGAATTCAAAGTTATTACAGCAAAACCTCGAGATAATGGACTAATTCAAGCAAGAAGGTGCCTGTCAAAGCTAAAAGTCCTTTATATAATAAAGCAGGTTTTCCGAATGGGTATGTTAAAAAATTGACAAATTAGTTAATTTACCTGTTTTTACTTTGTGTAATTAAAATTAAGTATGTATGAAAAGTTTAATTTCACAGAAAAGTTTTCTATATGTATTACAGGAATTTTAAATTTATACTGAATAGGTCTAGTAAACGCATGTAATTACCAGTCACCTCTAATAAACAAATGCACACGGCTGGGCATGGATTAGCACACATGGAACATTGGCTGGCAAGGGTTAAAACTGCTGCAGAAAGTCACACCATGTGATGACAGAACCAATTACTGACGAACATTGTTTACAAGCAGTGACTCTTGAATTTAAATATGTAGACTATAGTTGTAGATATGTAATATTTATTTATGTCAGTGAAATTACTACAGTGTTTTTTCCAACATATGGCTTATTTGCTAAAATTTATTTAAAAAAACAATGAATGAATAACAAAAAAATAACCTGTTAATCTAATTATAAATAAATCTTGGTTAAAAGCATTTTTAAATTAATAGGGTGTTAATTTTCACATATGACATACGGACTGGAAATTTTGTCTGTTAAATCCAAAGTCAGTTAAATCGAGGTTCACGAAATCGAGGGTTTACTGTCTATAAAATTTGTATTAGATGAGTGTAACCTTAGAACAAGGTGTATTTGACTTCCAGAACTATAAGTATGAGCTTTACTAACCAAGGCATAATAATATTAAGAGACCAGAAAATGCAAGAACATAGAATTATATCTTAAAAATATTAAATTTCTCAGATTCATTATTTTCCTAAAATGATTGTGTAGCATCCCTGAAGCCCTTGTCGTTGATTATGGTAAAGAGAAAGAATGAGAAACAAACTTTCCAAGCCTGACACCAATTTATTTTCAGGCTATTTTACTTCAATTTTCCTCAAAAAACTGGCAAAGTTAAAAAGAACTGTACATCTGTATATTGTTTGATACTTTGTATAAAATTTTTCAGTAGTTTGAATTTCTTCATTTGAGTATGTTTTACACAAATATCTGAATTTAGTGTTCTCTCACTATACTCAAGGAGTAAATGCGAATATAAAACCAAATGTTTTGACATATCAGTAACTATTTTCTTGATACATAAGAAAAAATTTAAAAGTATAAAATGTGGTGCCCTGGCAGTTTGGCTCAGACATTAGAGCGTCAGCCCACGGACCAAAGAGTAGCAGGTTCGATTCCAGTCAAGGGCATAGACCTCAGCTGCAGCTCGGTCCCTGGCCCTGGTCAGGGTCTTGCAGGAGGCAACAATCGATGTGTCTCTCTCACATTGATGTCTCTCTCTCTCTCTCTCTCTCTCTCTCTCTCCCCCCCCCCCTCTCTCTCCCTCTTTCTCTTCCCTTCCCTCCCTCCCTCCCTCCCTCCTACTCTATCTGAAGATAAATGGAAAAATATCCTCAGGTGAGGATTAAAAAAAAAAGTATAAAATGTGGTTTCTGCCCTTACTAGGTATTTGGTTATTAAAAAGAATAGATATATTAGCAAATCACATAGGACAAAGTATGATTTAATGATAAATTATATGGCCAATTAAGTGATCTAGGAAATCAATGAAAGAGAACACTAATAAAGATCAAAATAGTCTAGGAAGACATGATTTTCGTATTTGTTTCATATTTCTGTTTATAAGAGATAAAGCTATCCATTAGCTCTTAACAACAAAAAAGTAAATAATGTACTCCATTTACCTACTAAATTTTATTAAACTGAATTACTTCAAAAGCATTATAAATATAACACGAATACATTTCTGAACTTCTTTTGAAACACATGTACTTAGTAATTCTCGTGGCTATAATCATCAATGATAGAACGTTGACAAAGCTGCAGGTCCAATAGAAAGAAAGAGCATGGGCTTGAAGCCCATGGGGAAGAATCTCAGCTTCACAGTTTATCTGGCTTTTTGACCGTGGGCAAGTTACTTAATAATGCTGAACCTATCTCTTAAGTGAAATAAGGTAACAACAATTATCTTCCATGGTTGTTGAGAAGATCAAATAATATATCATATGTAAAACAAACAGCATATCAGTCAGAAAAATAACGTGTGCAATAACTTTAGCTCCCATATTCAAACAAAATTTCAAATACAGTGATAACAGAACACCAACACTTGTCTTTACATTTTATTCCTTACTATAAAAATTAATAAACTGTCCTTTTTATTAGTAAAAATTAATATGTTCAGTTTCTAATTCTATAATGATTCTCATTCATCTTTGAGAATTTGATAACAATGTTGGAACTACTTCCTCCCAAAATACCACATATACACACAGTATTTTGCATCAGTTTTTAGGGACATTAACAGGTTCTCTGGAAGCTAGATTAAAAACTGTTTTCTATATGGCTATTTAAATAAAATTAATTTAAATTAAATAAAATAAATTTTTAGTTCCTCTGTTGTACTGGGCACATTCAAGTGCTCAACAGCCACACGAGGCTAGTGCCTACTGGATAACACAGATAAAGAACATTCCATCATCTCAGAAACATCTATGAGATAGAGCTGTTCTGGAATGTTAAAAAAAGTAAAACTATTTTGCTCTGTTTTTGTTGTGTTTTGTTTTTATTATCTGGAAATCTCTCTTTGAAGTAGATTCCAAGAGGATAGACGCTGTGAATCATTAGAATCACTAGGGTCCACCACATAATAAGCATTCAACAGGTTTCTAAATAGCTGACATTACTGTTTTCTTTTGGCTACATTCATCTAGGAAAAATTTTCTAAATTGGGACCGGGCTGGTGTGGCTTAGTGGATTAAGTGTCCTCCTATGGACTAAGAAGACAGGGCACAGGCCTGGGTTGTAGGTTTGATCCCCCGCAGGGGGTGTGCAGGAGGCAGCCGATTGATGTTTCTCTCTCATTGATGTTTCTAGCTCTCTCTCCCTTCCTCTTTCACTAAAAAAATCAGTAAAACACATTTTAAAAAAAAAATTTACTAAGTTGGTCAGGACCAGAGCTGAAGCTGTGAAAACAAATATATAAATACAGGTAAATGTGGCAGGTCAACTTATATGTACTCTCAACTGAAAACTTCTGAAGACAATGAGGGCTCTCTCAATGCAGACTTTATATTTTTCGAGTTTTAGCTATATATATTGGCTAAAATATAGGACTTGCTGTTCGATTCAAGAACAGGCAAAATGCCAGTTAGCTTTTATTATTCCTGTATTGGTTTTCCCTAGCTAGAGCAGTTGAGTAACTTATTTTTAAATAGTATGTATACATTCAAACACAGTAGTTTAAATAATAAAATACTTTTAAAATTTACCAGTTCTACACCTTAAACATTACGGCATTAAGATTTTAGAAATCTATTTCCTTTTAATGTATCTTGAAATCAAGACAAAATTGCTGCTATATACAGAACAGTAGAAGGTCTAATAATAATTTTGCACTTACACTGCCACATTTTTTCTAATGGTATATTCATCCAAATCGTCATCAGAGCTGCTATCAGTTGCATCAGAATCCAGACCCTCTTCCACATGAGACAACAGCCCTGTAGCTGACAGTGCAAATCTCTGGATCTCTGCGGCTGTACATCGTGCAAAGCCATTTTTTGTATCATTCCATAATTTATTCTCCGCAGTCAATAAGTTGATGTCTGGCTTAATTTCAGTGCATTTAGGTAAACTGTTATCCAAAACCGTGGTGGCTTCATGAAAGATCTTCATTTTGGGGAGTTGCTGTTTCATAGAAAATTTCATTTGCTGACCATAGTGCTTAACAACATGCTTTGCCAGGAGCATCTGCAAATGTTTCTGAGTTCTTCTAGCCTGGTTAAGTAAAATTTTCTGTTTGCTTACACAATTAAGCAAACGAGCATTCACTTCCTCCTCTTTTTCAGCAGCTGAGGAACTAATAGGCACATTTGAATGGCCAGGCCCAATTTTCTTTTGAGCACAGTGCAATAAACTCTTTTTAATCTCAGTATCAGTAACTTTATCAAAAAGTGCATTCTTTTGGTACCATTTACAGTTTTGTAGTTGTACTTTATCTACATTAGTGTCTTTGGTTATATTTGAATCCAAAACATTTTTTATACCTGTCATGCACTGGCTTGTGTTATCTGACAGAGGTTCCTTTTTGATGAACTCTTCAGAATGAGAATGACAGATTTTACTGAGCTGAATATTGCTGCCATTACACAGTATGTTTTTCAGCTTATTGCAGTTCGGTTCCCCTAATTTCTTTTGTTTATAATTCTTATTGTAGTTATTTAATGTAGAATTAGAACCCATTAAAAGAACTGTCTGATAATGTTTTGAAGACTGAGAGGAGCCAAAATGTTTTAAATTCACAAAATTAGTGTTAAGAGTAGGTTCAGGTGTTGGAAATCCCAGCATCTGAGAGAAAGTGTCTCCCTTTAGCTTTTCATCCATAGTTCTTGGACCCTCCATGCATAGCATCTTGTCAGACTCCATGGTACTTGGTAAAGATGAAAAGCATATACCCTTTGTTGCTGCCTCCCTCAGAGCTGGGGTCATGGCGAATCCTGCAGATAATTACTGGAAACCTAAAACAATGTAAAAATAAATAATCAAATATCTAGAAAAGAGTTTTATGCTTGTATGTTTTTCAAGGACAACATTTTTTAATGTTTCTGATTAAAACATGAACAGAACAAAATTCCTTTATTTCCCAACTCGTAACACTATCCCCGCTCTTTCTTAGATCATAAGAAATTCAGCTAGCACTAAACTATTCTTCACTCTGATTGTGGGCCAATACCCAAAACTCCAATTAAAGTTCTCACTACCTAGCACAATACATGTCAGACAAATACTTGTGGATATAATACTTGACCCTTGAACAACACAAGAGTTAGGGGCACCAACCCCCCGCACAAAAATCCGTATATCACTTTGAACTCCCTCAAAAGTGATAACATAAATAGTTGACTCACACATATTTTGTATGTTATATGTATTCTTACAATAAAGTAAACTAGAGAAAAGAAAATAGTATTAAGAAAATAATAATGAGAAAGAGATTTACAGTATCAATTGAGAAAATAAAATAAAACAGTATATAAGCGGACCCACACAGTTCAAACAAGTGTTATTCAAGGCTCAATTGTACATCTCAAGATTCCATTTTTAAAAAATGTTTAGTGAGTAAAAAAAAAAATTCCAACCGGGAATTTGGGAATTATACTTTAAAATGTAACTCAATCTCATACTTTCAGCCAAAAATAAGAATTAAGTTATCTTTATAAAAAATATAATAAATTGCTCAAAACTTCCATTTCTTCATTTAAATTTTACAATCTAAACAGTATTAACAATAACTAAGTATACTAAAAAAGTAAGAAGATGTAAGTGAACTGAACTACAAATAAAAAAGTATATAATTTCACAGCTGTTAAAATTAATGTGATAATGAAAACTCGCCTAATTTGCAATGTGCAAAAATTTTTTCTGAAAAAGCATCTGCAATAATTTTTTTCCTTTTCACAAATGGATAGTTGTCAGTTGCCATTACAGAGCTGTTAATCCTGCTGGGAAAGAGTGGGGAGTGTCCCAGATGACCATTAAAGATTTAACCCATACTTAAACAAATTTCATTGTATTTTATCAAAAGAAAAATATATAAAACCATATATTCTGAAATACAGAAAAAGTTAATTCAGTACCATTCAAAATTATGAAGACCAAATAGTTCGTAAAAAACTGTATATTATTAACGATTGTAAGTTTTTGAAGATACTTTGGAACTATGATACTCCATAATTTTGTTTCCACATACATGACAGTTAACAGTCACTTAAATGGCTACACTCTCATATCATATGTCCCCATACAATGTGACAACTGTAACTCTATACCTTTAATTCCTATTTTAAAATAGAAAACCAAAAGCTAATACCTTGTAAGATTGGTAAGAATAATGGTCAAAAAGAAAATGAGGCACAAAAAGTTTCTATGCAAATAAAAAAAACACATATAGG